TTTCCTTTTTGAAAAAAAAAGCATCTTTGGGACAGCCCTGACCTGGGTGATGGAGGCAAGAAGGGGACTTATGACGGTCCTCATGGCTGCGGCCATCAGAGCATCCCTGGGATCGTGTGATCACAATTCAGGTGCTTGGCAATTGACTCCCAATTATGACACCAGCAGGATCCCATGGTCATGGGATCACTATTTGCAAACTGGATTGCCAACAACAAAGTTAAAGCCAGCAGGAGGTCCCAAATGAGGGCCTCCCGGTTCAGGTAGGGCATGTGGAGCTTGGGCCGGGAGGCCCTCATTTGTGACCTCCTGCTGGCTTTAACTTTGTTGTTGGCAATCCAGTTTGCAAATAGTGATCCCATGACCATGGGATCCTGCTGGTGTCATAATTGGGAGTCAATTGCCAAGCACCTGAATTGTGATCACACGATCCCAGGGATGCTCTGATGGCCGCAGCCATGAGGACCGTCATAAGTCCCCTTCTTGCCTCCATCACCCAGGTCAGGGCTGTCCCAAAGATGCTTTTTTTTTCAAAAAGGAAAACTGGACTTCCTTGGTTTTTATTTGAAGACGTTTCGCTTCTCATCGAAGAAGCTTCTTCGGTTCTAGGTGAAGAACTAAGAACTGAAGTTAGAACCGAAGAAGCTTCTTAGATGAGAAGTGAAACCTTTTTCAAACAAAAAAAAAAAAACCACGCCTTTTTGGTAAAAGCATCTTTGGAAAAGTGTCATTCAGCATCATCATAACTTCTTTTTTATATATAAAGAGTTTTATTATTTTTCAATTACAAAAATAAACATTCCATCTTTCCCTATGCAGCGTGTCGCCTGGGTATAAACATCTCTGGGCAACATCATTCCTCATTTGCCACATCTTTCACATTCATATTAACATTATTTCCCTAAGTTTAGTATTATAATATATTGAGCATTTAAACATTATGAAGCTCTCCATTTTTCTCCTTACTATCTTCTAGTAATAATATCATATCAACATTAAACATCATCATTCTCATTTTACACACACAGTTTCATCTTATTTGCATCCCTGTCTAAGTGTATTATCTACTTATTTTTTAACTTTCTTCATTTCCAAACTCCTTTTTTATTCTCCAACCGTTGGCAAAAGACTCCTCAAATCATATAATGTTCAGCTTGCTCTTTCTACTTAATTGCTAATGTTAATCTGTTCGTTTCTGCACATTCTAAGTACACCGTCGTAACTTCTAATGATCGCTGAACAAGCAGTCCTTAAATGAGGACTGCCTGTGGCTCTTCTCTGTGACACCTCTCGAACCTTGGAGAAGGCCAGGAGAGAGAGCCTGAAGATCCAGTGGATCCGATGGAAGGAGATCTCTGCCCTGGGTGTACTTACCTTGCAGCTGACCTTGGTGGGATCGTCAGAGGTGGCACACAGGTGTTCCTCTCGGATGAGTGTGGAATACTGCTCAGAATTGTTGCACGCATCCTTGGCTATCAGCGACACTTCGGTCTCTTGCAGGATATCCGAATATTCAGCCCACTCTGTGAACAGAAGAGAGGGTTGTATCACCCCACCCAGAGGTGAAATTCAGCAGGTTCTGACCAGTTCTGGAGAACCAGTAGCGGAAATTTTGAGTAGTTTGGAGAACTGGCAAACACCTCCTCTGGCTGGCCGCGCCCCATCTATTCTCTGCCTCCCGAGTC